GGACACAGCTTTTTTGTTTCTTCTTCTAATGGCCTGTAGCAAAAAAACTTGGAAAATTATTTTCCCTACAGAAATAAATAGAGTCAAAGTGCAAAATTTAAACTCTCATAACTTTGAAACTTTTATAGATAGATTTTTTTTTAAATTTTTTCTATGTTTGTGGTACCTTACCCTACATGGCATTTGTCTTTGAAGCGGGAGTTCTGACGCACTCTGTATGTGCATACCATGTAGAACGTGGCTCCTTCAACTTTTAGAATCGCGATATCTCAGGAATGGTGATTGTTAGAAAAAAAGTATAAGGACCATTTTGTAGATAATTTCAAGATCTATATTATTTGTCTGGGATACTTTTTTGATAAACTTACCGTTTTCGAAAAAAATCTAAAAAACGTCAAATTTAGACCTTTGACCCCGAATAACTTTTTTAGCACACATGGGATCGATGGGGACTTTTGACACTTTATTCCTAATGGTGTACTCAAGATCTCCACCAAAATTTAGCTCTGTCGGAATTTTAGTTATTTAAAATGTTTATTTTGACCGGACTATAAAGTGTATTTTCCCGTCACGTCATTTGTAATTTTATTTTTAATGGGGAAAACTGTTTTGGGGCTAATATTTATATCTTCTATATCATCATAACAATCGTAATTCAAGCCCTAGACGGTATAATCATGTCGTGATCTTGATTCACAATACCCAATAAATTAAAAATTAACAATAGATACACTTGAGTGCAAAAAAACGCAAATTATCAAAAACAAGATTGTCCAATTTTTCAGAGATTTACATAGTATGAAAAAGGTTGTTCCCAAAAAGGTTAGAAAACCATCAAAAGAAATGTCGTATTTGGTAGTCTTGCCAGTGCTTTGTCATAGTCAGTGTTAAAAACTAAATCGAAAACTTGATAGAAGTTTGGAAGATGCCTGACAATTATAAAATTGTGAATTGTCACAAAGACAACGTTAACGGCATTTATTAACAGGCCAAATTACATTGTAAAAAAATCAATTTGTGTTTTTTTTTGCACTCAAGTGTTATTAGATAGTTTCAAACGTTTTATCCTGTTTAATAAAACCCAATAAAGTATGTATAATAAAAAGGACAATAATTTTTGTCATAGGTAAGTCATCAAAGCGTTTCTTTAATGTTTTTTTTACTGGGTGTATCAGGTAACACCTTTTTTTTCGTCGTTCTATGTCTATGCTTTTAGGGTGTGAATAACATTTAACAATTTACAATCATTAAGCTGTCACACAGGGCTGTTTTAAGAGCTTTAAACAGTCCGTCTTTCGTTAACGTCCGGTTTTTTGACAGTTCTGATAATTTAAATTTTCAAATATTGACATTTTCCGAAAAATTATAATTTTTAAAGATGGTAATTTATACGACGAAAAACGTGCTGTTAAGGCCCATAACAACCGCGGGAGAATTAAAGCCCTTCTTCGTTGAATTTAAAAAACTCCCACGGTGGTTATGGCATTTTAACAGCTCTGTAAATACGTAAATAACTACAGGGTTATTCACGGGAGAGTTATTTCAGTTTTTTTTTTGCCACAACTCATTATACATATTGCAATAAATTCTTGATTTCAAGTTTTGACAATCATTATAACTGAATCCACGATATCTGTTATTAGCCTTGTGGTGTTCTGTGGTCTTGTCTCTTTGACATTAAAACAAAAAAATCATCTCTCAAATTATGCGACATGATTTGTTATTGTTAACAACCGCCTAGGCCCATGTTTAGAAGCACATGGTAGACACTTCAAACACCTTTTACATTACCATAACCTGTTAATTTATTTGTTGAATTTTGATTAAATATAGAGGTTATTTGTCAATCTGACATTTCTGGCAAATCTATCCAACTTACTTTAATTTCTAATTTAAAAGAAATAACATGTTTAATTTAGCAGTTAGTGATATTGGTATTGTTGGTTGTGGCAAAAAAAAATCAGAAATAACCTTTTCGTGAATAACCCTGTATAATGGTTTTACTTTTTGAAAACTTTTAGATAATATCTTTATATGTAGTTCTAGCAGGTTGTCTTATCTGACACATTATTTATTTATACTTTGGGTTTATCTTGGTTTCTTTGAAAATACAGCATTTCTCATACTTATACAGAAAATTGATGACAAATTCAATTCCTTGACATTTATCAGAAATTTGAAACCATTTTAAAATATACTAAGCTTTATTATTTTAGGAATAGGCGCATCCTTACTAATATTGATTTATTAGGTTATGACTTAATGTAAAATTTTATGACATTCTTTCAGAAAATGATAAGTAGTATAAACTCATTATTTTTTTCAATTTTT